CACAATAATAAGAGGGTTAATAAATCCTAAAGATTTGAATCTTACCACCTTGACCTCTTCTCACTCCTGTAAAATTTGCCTAAAACGCCTATCCACCGCGTACCCAAAGTAAACTGACAGCTCTTATTGAACCATTGGGAGTACATGTATGGTTTTAGTCTCTATTGAACGGTAACACTCTGAAGTTTCTTCACAACCAGTCAGAATCACTGTAAGTGCTACTAGCATTGAGCTATGGGGTTTTCAGCACAGTGAAAGAGAAGGATTTTATTTCCGCCTAGATTTGTTTTGGCCAACAGATGGCAGCAGTTATCTATGGCTGGGACTTATGACCCGGAAAACACAATACTACGTCACCATGGTGTCATGGTACCTGGTATAAGTTAGAATTTGATAACAATACAACAGAAAATGAAATTAATATTTTACACGTGGTTGGCTGCATAAAAAAGCTTTTGGAGGCTCGTGTCAAAATGCATATACTACAATAAACTACTGCATAAAAAAGCTTTTGGAGGCTCGTGTCAAAATGCATATACTACAATAAACTACGTGTCCGAAATTCAAACTACAGTTTACTTATTTTGATGTATGGTTAACTATATCATATTTAACCATTGTCAACTTTCACAGATTCTTGAAAATTCTCAAGAACCAGACTTTTGTCTTGATAATCTGTCCCAGGTACCTGAGTCACGGTTTCAATTGCAGTTTTGAAAACTTTCCCAGAGGGCCATCTGATAAATCTGCATATCCTTGTCTTCGTAATTTCATTGGCTGTATGGAGCCTGAGTTTGAACAGGATCTGTTGCGATTGGCTCGAGCTTTACCCAAAGAAGAGAGGCGGGCATTATCTTTCAAAGCAGACTCTCGTTGGCTGTTCCAGACTGTGACCGGGCTATAGAAGCTCCTATTGGGTCAAATGAGGTGTCAATCTAACCGGCGGAATGCAGCCTCCATTTTGCGCTCAAAATCTCCGCTCTGTTGACATGAAAAGTGAAATTATGCCCGAAATATGATCGCGAGTTATCATATCTGCTGGTTAATTTGAAATGATGCAACAGCCCCCCGTGGGTCTTTATGGACGTACTAATGTGTTTTGGACTAAATCTTTTACTGGATTCGATCGAGTGGACCCTTAGCCACAATATCAAGCTTGCGATCGATGCTAACATGCTAATGACGCTAGCATGCTGTCTAGGCTAGTGCATAGCCAGTGTTTAGCAAGTTAACTTATCAGTGGAGTAGCTAGCTATAGGAAGAGGGAGATTGGGAGCTTGTATGTTCATGATAACCTTATCAAGAGACGTCTGACCATCTAATCTTGCACTGTATTACAAGTTATAAAAAGATATAAAATATATATATATACATAATCAATCAAGCTGTTGTCTTTTAATAGCTTTGCTTAGTTACACTGAAATTCTGTGACTGTTCTTCCTTTTTGTGGGGTTCGCCAGAGCTTTGTGTACATTATATCAGTGGCGGGCCGTGCATTTTATACCTGGGCCTTCACTGCTGTCCTTCAGCTGAAACACAGCTACAGTTATTATTTGTTTCGTGTAAAAATGAAGCCAACACCTGTAGATACACTATCTGCTGAGAGTGCGTCTCCTCTTTGCTCTGACTGCAGCGCGAGGCTTCTGTGGGCGGCTGCGGAGGGGCTCACGGCAGCACCTGCTGCTCGTTCACGACAGTGCAGAACGTACGTGCTTCAACGTCAAAACACCAGAAAAGTCTCCAATAACACCAGAGAAGTCGCTAGATTTGTCACAAGTAGCTTTTGACAAAAAAAGTCGCCATGAGGGTTTGGAAAGTCGCCAGATTTAGCGAGAAAGTCGCCAAGTTGCCGACACCGACACCGGCTAAATATGTCCCCAGAGCAACATTGGACGTAACAATGGTTCCTATCACATATTAAACCAAACAAAAATCTTCATAAAAACAAGTTGTACAAATAATAATATATAAACAAGCATATTAAAGCTACTGCAGATGTAAAAACAAACGTATTTAACTTACCAGAGCTGCTGTTCAGTATTTAAAGACAAAGTGCATCCTCCTTTCTTTGTTAACAAAGAGTTTAATCCCACTGTTGTTCAGTACATCCGTGTGTTTTAGTTCCAGAAAGAAGTCCTTCTCCATTCATAGACGCCAGTGAAGACTCCCCAGTTGTATTTCTTGAATATGTTTTAACGCGTTTGAGGGCTGAATATGTCCGCTCGACAGAGGCAGCAGATATTGGGATTGTCACCGTCCAACATGTCAGGCTAGCCCACTGACCAATCACTTATGGCTAGGCCAGCTAGCAGGCTCTGAGACGTCAAAGAATACGCCCAACATGTCAAACTAAAGATCTGATTGGTTGAAGAATATGACAATCAACAATATCGTCCCCATTCACTTAAACTGCAAAGGGATTCACTTGTGAGTCTGCAGGTCTCGGGCCTCTCTTCTTACCTAGAGACACAGAGGTGAGATCTGATTGGATAAAAGCTCTACTTAAAACAAGCTGCACTGGAAGGAGAGCAACTGAGGAAGACAGGAGCTGTGCAATGAGAAAATAAGATAATGGGAAAAATAATTATAATACATGTAGCGTATTTATGAAAAAATATTAAATTATAAAATAACTATAACTTTGTGATTCTGTTTAGGCCAGCAGAGAAGGCCTTGCAGGCCCTGACAGCCCACCGCTGCATTATATAGCCCAAACCTGAATGCTCCGCTGTACCAAATTGTGAGAAAACGGAAAATCCAGAAAAAAGTATTTCCTATATTTTAAATACAAAATACATGTATTGTATTTTGTTACATTTTCTGGCACCAGTATTTTGTATTTTATTTTGATACATTTATTTTAGGGGTATTTTGTATTTTGTATCAAAATACATTTTGATGTATCTTTGCCCATCTCTGCTCACACAGATAAAGATACGAGATAAAGTATTGATCTTTATTTAAATAAGGTTTTAGGTCAATTGTCCAGATGCTGATCAGCCTTCAACGTTGCAGCTGCGGGTTTTGTTTTCATCACGAGATTCCGCTTGATCACCCTAATGACGTAACGTTTGCGAAAGCCCAAACCTTTCTGAATGAACAGCTCTCTCGCCGGGTGCGGTGGCGCGCGCCTGTAATCCAAGTTACCGGGAGGCTAAGGCTGGCGGATCGTTTGAGCTCAGGATCTCTGAGCTGCAGCGGACTATGAAGATCCGGTGTCCGCACTAAGTTCGGTATCGATATGGTGCTCCTGGGGGAGCCCGGGACCGCCAGGTCGTCTAAGGAGGGGTGCACCGGCCCAGGTCGGAGACGGAGCAGGTCAAAGCCCCCGTGCCGCTCAGTAGTAGGATCGCGCCTGAGAATAGACGCTGTAGTGCAGCCTGAGTAACACAGCGGGACCCAGTCTTTCTACACGCTTTACTGTTCAACAAACAGCTGATACTACAACAAAGTGTTTACATGTTACAGCAGCTTCTTTATATTCTAGTTCCCATGAAAACATTCAGAAACCAGTTGTCTCCTCCACCTGGAGGAGAGGAGCGATGAGCATCAATCCCAGCAGTCAGTGCAGCTCCACAGAGGGCGTTCTTTATGACATTCAGTCACAAACACTTTCCTTTGTTTTTCTGTTCAAATAACAAAAAAAAAAAAAAAAAAAAAAAAAAAAAAAAAAAAATATATATATATATATATATATATATATATAAATGATTCTAAAGATTAACAAATATTTCAAAATGTGTTTTTCTATGTTGCTGTAAGTTTATTATTTTCCAATGAAGGATTCTTATATCAGCCAAAAATATGAATCTGTATGGTGAACAGAAGCGATGAGCAAGCACTCCGATGGTGATAATACACTAAATTCCCCGTGTGGGTTCTCTTTAAAAATTGCAGATGCATACTTTCTTGTGGTACATATGTTATGTGCTATTCATTTAGGCGCTCTCTACAATTCGACACTCAACAGATACATCTGTGGTTAAAGCGAAGAGGAGAACCTTTGAGTACAGACAGAAGCTGGTTCATGACCACGATACATCTTCAGTTTGGGATGTTTTTCATCACTTCCTTGACACACCATGGATTGTTAAAGATATGCATAGATTATTTCATCTTATTTTAAATATTTAGAAACTGCATCCTTCAAAATGCAAAGCATACTGCATTAACCTGTATACTGTACATTGTTCCATATTGTTGTATGTTTTGAAAAGTGTTTTAAAATGTTCATGTGGGACTAGTTTTAAAATAAATGTGCTTTAAAACAAACATGACCTCTTCCCTTTCGCAAACTTTATTTTCCAAGTCATTTTTAGTAAAGAGCCAGAATTACACCTTACAGTGTTAATGGGAGTAACACTTTGTATAGTTAACAAACAATCCCTTGAGAGTTCATTTTTAATACAGACGTTGTGTTGAGAAAAACGAACACTGGTTTGTGTTAGGAAGAGTTAAATTTGAACTCCAAAAAGAGTCAATAATAACACTAAATTAGTGTTAAGGTACTAACTCTCCAAAAATAGTTGATTCAACACTTTGTGGTGTGGACCCATATCGACTCCTCGAAAGTGTTCAAGCCAATTCTTTAATTTGGCTATGCTGATTTTGCTGTGTGGGAACATAGTACAGTCCAATTAAAACGTTTTTATTCTTTTCTTCTCACAGTTTGTAATGAGGTGTCCAGACATTATACATATGATCATTTTTCTTATGTTCAGATAAACATCAAAAGGTATACTGTGCAGATGTATAGTGATAGACACAAACACCTTGTGAAAAAATACTTCACTCTACTCGTTCAGCACAGATTATGTAAAGTCATATCACAACAGAACATCATTACATTATTATTATTGTTATTAATATTATTGTCATCGTTGTCATTATTATTATTATTATTATTATTATTAGTAGTAGTAGCATTATTTGCAGATACCATTATCGTGCTAGCGGAACCTTAGCTGTGCGGTTCTTGCCGCCCGCACTGACGGACTTTTCCACCGTTGCACCACTGATGTAACTTTCATTTCCTGGCTGGTGAAGGGTCACACACATGAGTACAGAGTTTGTGTAGAGTCCACTTTACGGAGCCGAACCTTTACACGTCCACTGGAATACATTTTGATGATGTTGCGAACGCTTTGTCGGACCGGCGGCGCCCTTCTGCAGGTAAAATACAAGTCATGAAGTTACTCATATCCGGCATGTTGGCTCGTGCTAACACGAAATGTCGCTCTCCATCCCGGTAGAAGCACCACTGAATCCGTATAAGTTAACATAAGAAGCACCTTCTTTAGCTGACACTGACTGACATCCTAATCATTAACAGGAACATGTACTATTATGATGCGTTAATACACCTTTACGGAGTCAACCAATACATAATCAATAACGTCATATGCGCTAAATTCCATACGGTGTTTTAAATTACATAAATATATTGAGCAGATCACCAAAATGTGTGTTTTTTAATTCATTTTTTAATAATTTGTGTGATCGCTCATACATCATTTATAAAGGAAAAAACCCTGACTGGTTTAAGCTTCTCCTGTGTGACAATGTGCTGCTTTTCTCATCGTCAACTCAATATATTTAAGTTTTTGACCGTTGATTGGTCCAAACATACCATCTGCACATGTCAGCTTTCACTCTAAAGGGCATTTTCTGACTTTCTATAGACTAAACAATCAATACATATCATCAAAACAGAATCATGAAAATGATCGTTAGTTGCAGTCCTATTTATTTTACTTTTAAATACAAGCGACATAATCTTTGCAGCAAGGATTTTGGTTTGAAAAGCATGTTAGGAGGATTGATTTAAAAATCTGAAATCATCAAACAGTAGTCTTACAATCTGATGGCACTTTTCTTTTTTTTTTTCTTGACTGTGTGTGTGTGTGTGTGTGTGTGTGTGTGTGTGTGTGTGATTTTAGCAAACCCAGCGGGCTGCCCCGAGGTTGTGGGTCACACCAGCCCAGCAGCGATGGGCGTCCAGCCTGCCCATGAACACCGTGGTCCTGTTCGTGCCCCAGCAAGAAGCCTGGGTGGTGGAAAGAATGGGTCGCTTTCACCGGATCTTAGAGCCGGTATCTACCCTTTTTCCTGTTCAAATAAGGGCAAATATTCCCAAGGGAAATAAAAAGCAAAAGCTTGACAACTTGTTTTTTTTCCCCAATCTCTCTTTTAGGGTTTAAACTTCCTCATACCTCTACTGGACCGAATTCGCTACGTGCAGAGTCTCAAAGAGATTGTCATCAATGTCCCGGAGCAGTCTGCAGTATCTCTAGGTGAGGGATCAGTACATCAGATCAGATTCTGAGTTAATAGACAGTTCATTTCATCTTGTTTTTACAGACAATGTGACGCTACAGATTGACGGAGTGCTTTACTTAAGGATCCTCGACCCTCTCAAGGTACACCATGCCCGAATGATTGTCTGCTCCTTTTGTGTTGTTTTTAGTCCGATCATAGAAATAGTGATTACATATTTGCCGGGTTTCGCCCCCCCAGGCCAGCTACGGCGTTGAGGATCCAGAATATGCTGTCACGCAGTTGGCGCAGACCACCATGCGGTCGGAGCTGGGCAAACTCACACTGGACAAAGTGTTCCGGGTAATGACAAACCACCGCTGTTTCTTCCCCCCCCCCCCACATTGCTCTGCAGGCTTGTAACGAAAGATGTCATAAGCACTTTGGATATTAACTTTTTACATTTCTTTTTGAAGGAAAGAGAGTCCCTCAACTCCAACATCGTCCAATCCATCAACCAAGCGTCAGACGAGTGGGGGATCCGTTGCCTCCGTTATGAAATCAAGGACATCCACGTTCCACCTCGTGTCAAAGAGTCCATGCAGATGCAGGTGGGACGAACAGAAAGAATGAATGAAGGAAGGAAGTCACCTCCTTCATCCAGAAACATGTTTTTGTTGTTGTACAGATTACTGAGGAGGTCTCGTTTTCACGTAAAACAAAGGTTCCCTAACACATTTTTCACTCCGCCCCGTGTAGGTGGAGGCCGAGCGGAAGAAGAGAGCCACGGTGCTGGAGTCTGAAGGGACGAGGGAGGCGGACATTAACGTCGCAGAGGGTCACAAACAAGCTCAGATTCTGGCCTCGGAGGGCCAGAAAGCGGAGCAGATCAACAAAGCGTCCGGTGCGTGGCACTTTAAGAGACCCGGCTGCGTTGTTTCAGCTCTGTGGTTTTTTACGCATCTTCTTTGACGCTTTTAAGTTCAGGTCGCAGGGCTAATAAAAATACTGAAATCACCGATGAAGACGAGTTGTACACCACTAATCGATTACTTTGCTCACTCCAGGTGAGGCCCAAGCAATCTTGGCCAAAGCAGAGGCAAAAGCGAAGGCTATCCGTATGCTGTCGGATGCTCTGACTGAGCAGGTGAACAGGAGATTCGGGTGTTTTTTCATAACATATCCATGATCGCAGTATTATTTCGTAAAAGTGAATTTTGATGATTTTTTAAAATTTATTTATTTATTTATTTTTTTTAAATGGTGCACCATACAGAATGGAGACGCGGCAGCCTCGCTAAGTGTGGCCGAGCAGTACGTGTCCGCCTTCTCCAAGCTCGCTAAAGAGTCCAACACCATCCTGCTGCCCTCCAGCACCGGGGACATCAGCGGAATGGTCACGCAGGTATTTACACACGCGCATCATTTTTTTCTATTCATGTTCGGGGTATTTTGTTGTAAGTTGTTCTTGAATCTATATGGTAACATCTGGAACTCTCCCGGCACTCAGGCTATGACCATTTATGGCACGTTGGCAAAGCCGAGCCTGAAAGCGGTGGCGGAGGAGAAGAGCAACAACTTTGGGAGCCAATCGTCTCAGTAGCGGAGGACTCGGTGAATGAACTCCAAACAGTAGAACGACACAGAAGCAGCAGCAGCAGCAGAAGAAGAAGAAGAAGTCTTTGGCTCCAAGGCGTCGCTGTGTGTGTGTGTGTGTGTGTGTAAAGTCTCACATACCTTCTGCCGACAGGACAGAAGGAGAAGAAGCTGTCAACTTCATAAACTTCTGGGATCTTTTGCCCTGGGAGTGTTGGGAAAAACATCACATCTTTTGTAAGAGGAGTTTTAATCTTCGCTGACTGTTCTTTATGCTCAGTTATTGTCAGATTTGAGAAATTGACACCAGGCTTCAGCCAAATATACTCGCACACCGGTGACTCTGGCAGGCTGACAAAATGGAGAAATTGAATGCTAGAAATTATGCGATTTACTATAATACGTTAATTATTTGTGGGTGATTTATTTCGTGCATCAGATCTGTTGAGGTATGTATTGTTGCACAGACCCTGGTTGAATTCGATGTAAAGGGTTAAATGTTAAAAGGAGCAGTGTGTAGGATTTAGTGACATCTAGTGGTGAAGTTGCAGATTGCAACTGAATACCCCTCGGCCCACTCCCTTTCCAGGCGTGTCAGAACTACGGTGGCCCGCAGGTAACGTCAAAAATGCAAAAAAGGCTCTCGCTAAAGCCATTGTTTAGTTTGTCCGCTCCGGGCTACTGTAGATACCCGGCAGCACAAGATGGCGGACTCCGTTAAGAGGCCCCGCTCACTATGTAGCTATAAACGGCTCATTATAAGCTAACAAAAAAAAAAACACAGGTCATCATTTTACATCAATGAAAAACATAGTTGTAAATATATTCAATTTCTGCCAATAAATCCTACACACTGTTGCTTTAAGTGTAACGTACGATTGTGTTGAATGCTTTTTTTTGCCTCTTGCGACCTGTATTTTTAGGGCCGGCCCAGATAACTGCATTCAGGTTCTGTGGGTACATTAGTAATAGCAGGGTAATTACATGTTTATAAATGGCTTGTTTACAGACACCAGTGACTATTCTTCTACTGTCTTCAGCATCGTTGGGACCAGCTTCAGTCGCTACGTGTGATGTCTGACTGGATGCGTCTTAATGATGGGAAGTGTCCCAAAGTTTAGTTCATTCACAATTTGGCCGATGTTGGATTGAATATCTAACTGATCACGTATTAAATTAATATTATTTTCTAATATTCAACTTGTTTTTTTCTAGATAACTAGCTGGTATACAAGGACAGGCCTCGGAACAAACGTTCCGTTCCTCTTCACATTTGTATTCACCTCTTATGTCTTATTATGGAATATATTTATTAAATGCCATGACTCTCTGCAAACACAGCAAGTCTGTCATTTCATTGGCTTCAGTCGTGCTTACAGGTTTTGAAAAAAAACATTAATTGGCACATGTATGTCATTTGAGGCTCTCATGAAGTTGAGTGCTTGGGTAGGTTTACGACATGGTGGAACGGGACGTTATGAACTTGAATGAAAATATGAAATGATGTCAGAGGAAGAAGTGTAGAACAATTCATCAGAAACAGCTGGACTTCCTCAAATGTAATGTCTGGAATAATCTTTAATTTTGTTGAAGAAAGATTTAGATGGATGTTAAAGTTGACTTCCATGTTTTGGGTTAGTGTTTGGGGTTCAGCAATGTTAACTTACCATAAAAATAAAAGTTGGTAAGGTCTGTGTGTCAATATATATTTTAAAAAATTGCTTTTTTATTTGTATTTATTTACTTGTCTTACATGTTGTAGCAAATTACATAGAGAATAAATGGAGAGTATGGAAATGACACCTTAAACTAAAACTATTGAGTTCCATAAGGTTTAATGGAGTTAAAAAAATGTTTTTTGTTACATCCCCAAATGTACAGAAGCAGTAAAATATTTCTTGCATATTAACAAAAACAAAAGCATTTTACTCATCACTTTAGGCATTTTGCTTTACTGCACCACCTTTATTGTTTTTGTTCGTAATCAATATGATGGCCTGAACTGTGCCAACATGCCTTCATGTATTAGTCAAAAAAACTTTTTAAAAAGTTGTCCGTGGGAAATGTCCCTTATGACAACTTTGTATTTGAAAGCTGTAAAAAAAAAAAAAAGTTGACAATCTTTAGAATACTGAATGAGTTTTTGGTTCCTTGACATAATGACAGAGTGACACATCTTTGCTTGTTTTCTCCCTTTTGTCACGGGTTCTTTCAGCCCTCTTCTTTGCCTCACAGACGGTATGGACGCGTGTAGTTTTTGGCTTTTTAATGCGTTTCAAATTGATATATTAATTTTAAGAATGAAAAAAACATGTACCAATATCATTAGTACAATTCCGTCAATCAATTATTTAAATGCCAGTTAAGACGTGAACTGTGAACTGTAAAATATATATTAATGACCGTGGTTTAGAGAGCAGCTGAAAACGTCCTCCTCTGTTTTAGACTTATTATATGCAGTCTATTGTTTTAGAAAGGGACTGTACAATTTCCGGAAAACGCTAGCTAGGTTTTAGGTTTTCATTCATTATGAATTTGTGCCTGAAAGTCCAAGTTAAGGGCATTGAAAGACAAAACACTTTGGTGTTACATCGAAAACCACCCGCCCCGTTTTTCCGCCGGGTTGCATGCGCGCTGAGGTTCCTAGCTGTCACCAGCCACCTAATCTCATTGTACCGGAGTCCATATGAAGGTGAGGGAGGTGTCGCGTAGTTCTCCATTTACCTGAGACACCTGTGCCCCCTGTGTTGTTAGCACACACACACACACTCCCGCCGCGAGAGGACGAGAACCCGACCGCTACAAGGTCAGTGACGAGAGCAAGACAAAGCTAGCCGCGGCTAACAAACGTGAACTTATTAACAAGCTAACGTAAAGAGGAGGACACGGTTAACACCACCTGTCACGTCCCAACAGCGCGTGCCTATTGTATTTTGGTTTAAGTGGACATTTTACGTGTCTGTCAATTTACACGTTACTGGTGCTAGCGTCTCGTGTAGCAGGTGTTACCCGCTGTTCACTTTACTTTTTTATACCTTGTGTGAAACAAGTGTGCTTGGTTTTTTTGTGACCTGTACTTCTGTCACCTCTGTGCGTGTCCAGAATGAAGAAGCTCCGGGTGCTGTGGCTGCTCCTCTGGATGTGCGCGGTGTACGCCGTGGGCATCTACCTGTTCGTCGGTGGCTTCCTGCTGGTGAGGCTGGAGGTGAACAGGACCAGCACCTGCGGGGACGTGCTGCAGCCCGGAGAGGAGCCGAAGGACTTCTGCCGCGTGCGGCCGCGTTTCCGCCGGGCCGTCCTCCTCATCGTCGACGCCCTCAAGATCGACTTCGCCTGGTTCGACCCCAACAACGCGGTGCCCCGAGCCTACGAGAACAAGCTGCCCGTGCTGGAGGAGACGGTCTCGTCCAGGCCCGCCCACAGCCGCCTGTACCCGTTCCGCGCGGACCCGCCCACGACCACCATGCAGAGGATCAAGGGCTTCACTACCGGCTCCCTGCCCACCTTTGTGGACGTGGGCAATAACTTCGCGTCCACCGCCATCCTGGAGGACAACCTCATCCACCAGTTCGGGCAAGTGGGTGAGTAGTGACACAGTTGTCTCTGCGACATTTTAGATGAAGTGCCAGAGCAGTCCATGGTTTAAAATATGAGTGAGGAAAAAAAGACTGCACCTCTTTATTTTATTTTATTTAGCACGTTTTATACAGGATAATTAATTCAAACACTTGTTACAACAAGGGGAAGAAACGAGGCTAAATTAAAAACAAACTGTATTAAAGATGCACATGAAACAAAAAAAACTACAAAAAAAAGATCTTCGAAGCCGGGAACGATTATAAAATTATTCTTTGTTATCGCACTTGTTATTTCTATGACCATACAGACGGGATTTCTTTCTGCTTGCATCGTACTTAATGACACACTCAACATCTTCCACAAGTCCAGGTTACAATGTAAGCTTAAAGATGTGTTGGTCGCATACAGAGTCATAGCGATGTCGTCTGGATGTGTTCTCCCCTCACAGGCAAACGCGTGGTGTTCATGGGCGACGACACGTGGGAGAACCTTTTCCCGAAGAAGTTCCACCGCTCTCTGCCCTTCCCTTCCTTCAACGTGAAGGACCTGCACACGGTGGACAACGGGATCCTCCAGCACCTCTACACCACCAGTACGTGTTCACATCTTAACCTCTGCCCCGTCCTTGTGCTCTGCTCGCGCCTCACACCTCTCCGTCTGTTGGTTTCTGACAGTGGTGGGGGACGACTGGGACGTCCTGGTCGCCCATTTCCTCGGAGTGGACCACTGCGGTCACAGGTTCGGTCCCGACCACCCGGCCATGGCCGACAAGCTCACCCAGATGGACGGCGTAATCAGGTCAGACCACAGACTTGATCTAACAATGGCTGCAGCTGATTGGGTTCCACATCCGAGACATCGTGAGTCTTTATTGCAGGAGCCCCAAAGTTTTTCTCTGACCACCTTCATGTTTATCCCCCTCCAGGTCTGTGATGGACCGCCTGCAGAACGACACCCTGCTGGTGGTGATGGGGGATCACGGGATGACGGACACCGGAGACCACGGCGGAGAAAGTCAGAAGGAGACGGATGCCGCCATCTTCCTCTACAGTCCCTCCCCTCTGTTTTCCGCTCCGCCGTCCCAGGTCGGTGGTAGAGTAGCAGCCTTCTCCATAGGTGGTTTGAACGTGGGGTGATTGGTGAAGTCAGTGCGAAGGAGGGACATGCACAGGAACATTTTATATTGTGGTAGAGAGCTCGCTAAGATGAGCTCCAAGCCAACAGACCAGTCCTTAAAAAAGACTTTTGTGCGGTTTAAGGGGAAAGTTAAAAAAGGGTAAAGACAAATGTAAAAGATGTCCCTAGTCTGTTTTCACAAGGACACATTTTAGATGAATGATTAACCTTTACGAGAACACTTGATGCGAGTAGATTGTATTTGACAAAATAGTCTTTAAAGAGAATTTACATCTAAAAGTGATGTAAACGTAACCTACAGTGTTTAGGACAAGTTTGTATTATTTTATTCCTTATGAGCTTTCATCAAATAAATGAAAAAATCTAAATAATAGAAACAAAGTGTCAAAAGTAAAAAAAAAAAATGGTAATAGTCAAAATGAATCACAGGTACAGTATCTATGAAAGAAAACAATAATTAAATTCCAGTTCTCACCCACTTTTTAATTGAGTAAAATAATAATCTGACACTTAAACAAAGGGTTTGTAACCAGGTCTGCTAAGTCTTAATTAATAATAACCACACTGTCTTGCAAAAGCGTAGCCGTTCTATGAACGACTAAGAACAGAATTATAATTCAACCACGTGATGACAGCTGAGCCAGTCTCGGCTCAGTTAGACTCATTTAGCTGATTTCCTGTTCCTGTCGCTGCTAAATGCCACATTCCGGTAATCCGGTAACCAGCTGTGAGTGAAATGTAGTGAGAGACATGAGCACGGTGTCAGACTGCTGAGAGTTTACACAACAAAGTCATTATGTTCTGTGACTAACTGGCAGAAAGAAAGCTTTGACTCCCGGACAGAAAATACCGCCGAACAGCAGCGTTTGCCGTACAATTATGAAACGTCAAACCAACGATCATTTCTTTTCACGGCTGGACGGGCACTTCCACAAATCCCTTAATTTGATGCTGGCAGGTGGTCTGCACCTTCTCGGGGATAAAAGTGAACTTCACCTCTGATTTGCATAAGAGCTGTGTGATTGAAGCATTACACAGAACATGAGTGATAATGAGACACGATGAGATACGGAGACGCTCACTTATTCATCAGCCGGTTATTCCTCTCAGGCAAATCCACCGACCCCACTATGAAGAGCCGCTGCAGTGGGAGGCGACTGCTTGAGTTAACCGTTATTTGGTCATGAACTGCTCGCGGTTGAAGGACCACGCTGACCTTTGGGAGATCTGTGCAGTGAATCGCTCACAAAGGTCTCTGGGAGGTTTCTCTGTGCTTGCAAGTATTGTAATTATTAGTCTATGATTACATCATTCAGAGTAAAGTGATAAACTCGTTCTCAATTTAGAAACTGTAAAAACGTAATTACAAACTGTACAAAAAGTTGCTCAGTTAATGTATAAACACAAAAAAAGTTACTTTTAAGTCTCACAGGAAGAAAAATATTCTGCTGCTGATAATGAATTCAGTATTTATATTTATTTATTGTTCTCCTAACTAAGGCTGGGTCACGAGCAGCAACAAGAACTTTGCCAATGCTTTGTAACTTTAGCTGAACAGCTTCCCCATGTGGCCACAATTGGTAATTGCAAGATGATGGTATATCGAATTTGCCTTAATATTCCCAAGATTCTCTTAAATCAGCTGCTGATATGTAGAGAAAAACAATACATCATAAAGTCAGTGAACATAACGCATCATTTATGTCATTTATACAGACTTCTGTCTGTATATAATGTTAAGTCCTGAATGCAATGATTTGATTTATTTCTTATGAATTCAACTTTTTAAATTATTTGTTCTTCATTTGAAACTAATTTGAATTTCCTTACTTTTAAGTTAATGCATGTCTTCAACAATTATTTGTGCCAATCTTCCTGTCACATTACGGACCTCTGATAATAACAGATCCTTTTCTTTTTTCTTTCCTGGTGTTTGTAGAGTGAACCGGACGTGGTGCCCCAGACAGACCTGGTCCCCACCCTGGCTCTGCTGCTGGGGGTCCCCATCCCGTACAGCAGTGTGGGGCAGGTTCTCCTGCCCGTCTTCCCTCCTCATGGGCAGACGGAAGACGCAGTTGGAGGTCTCACCCAGCTGGAGGCGCTGTGGATCAATGCAAAACAGGTAGAATGCTCAGTTAAAAGTGTGCGTGTGTGCGTGCGTGTGCGTGTGTGTGTGTGTGTGTGTGTGCGCCCGCCCTTTGTGACGGTTCTGTTTCGGAAGGTCAACCGTTTCCTGGAGACGTACTCCGGCATGGCCAAAGACATCCCAGCGGAGAGCCTCTCTCAGCTGAAGGCCGAGTTCTCCCGCCTCTCCTCCGAGTACCTCACCATGGTGCGACAGCGTCGGCCCCCCTCTCCCCAGTTGGCCGGCTCGCTGCAGGCCTACCTCACCTCGGTCAGGGACACCTGCCGAGCCACCTGGGCTCGCTTCAGCCCGCTCAAGATGGCAGCAGGTCTGGCCATCCTGGCGTTCGCCTGCCTGACGTGTTTCGTCCTGTCCGAGCAGTCCCTCGTGCTGATCAGGGAGGACGGCCCCGGACTGCGGGTCCCGGTCGTCACGGCGCTGATGGCGGGGGTGTGCGCGGCCGTCGGTCAGCTGAGCATGCGGGGCTACGTCGAGGGGGCGTGGTGCCTGGCCGCCGCCGCCCTCAGCTCGGAACTGCTCTTCCTCTGGAGAGCGCGCCGATTCGGAACCGCCGGCTCGGAAATGAACGGACCTAGAGCCAGCTGGCTGACCCCACGGCGCCTCCTCGCCCCCCCTCTCCTGGTGCCGCTCCTCCGCTGTGCCTCCCTGCTCTCGGACAGCTACGTGATCGCCGAGGGCCGCGTGGTGACCTTTCTGGTGTTCTCCCTGGCTGTCTATATTCCCATCCGTCTCAACTGGGACGGCCTGCTCCTGCCCCCCAGCCACGACCCCCTGAAGGTGGCGGGGTTGCTGCCCTCCCCGGCCCTGTCCCCGTCGACCGTGAGGAAGGAAAGCGGCACCCTCCTAGCCTGCTTGGGGCTTCTGGTCGGCAGCCTCTACCTCTCCCTCTCCTTCCACGCCTGTCGGGAGGAGCAGGGCTCCTGCCAGCCGTCCCCGTTCCTCTCGCCCCTCTCCCGGTTGCAGGACAACCGGCTGAAGAACCTCCACTACGTCCTCTCCGTCTTGGCCCTGGGCCTGTGGACGTATCTGCTGCGACGCTTCCTCCGCCATTACGGCAACCTCAACTCCGCAAGCGGGACGGTGTTCGCGGCCCGCTGGGTCCTCCTGCTGCTGTCCGTGTGCCTGGCGCTCTACTGGGCCGTCAGTGCCACCCCAGAGGACAGCTTCAGGAATCTGGCCGAGCTGATCGGCCTGGCCCAGCTGGCCCTCCCCAGGGTCGCCTTCTGCCTCCTGGGACTGGGGCTGTCCCTGATCTGGCTCGACCCCCTCACCGTGTTCGCGAAGACCAGGGCTGCGGCCTCGGTCCGCAGCGCATCCCTGCCCCCGCCGCGCTACCGAGCCAGCACGGGCATCAGCCCCCAAGCCGAGCTGCACCACCTCATCCCGCAGATCTACCAGCGCATGCGTCGCTCCCTGGACGACGGAGAGACGAGCGGGGGCGTGGAGGCGGACGGCAGGCCCGCCGTGGAGGCCTACGGACTGGGGACGGTCTACTCCGCCCCTCTGCTGCTGTTCTGTGGCCTGCTGGGGATGGGTCTGCTGCTGCTGCACCCGGAGGCCATGGCTCTCTCTTTCCTCCTGCTGCTGCTGGAGATGGGGGCTCTGCTGCACATTCACGCCTCCTCCACCACCCTCAGTGGTCTGCATGGAACGTGTCCCGGTGAGATTCTCACCATCTTTTTCATTCTATGCTTTGTTCGTCCATTATGACACGTCCTGAGCATCTCTGATTCGTTTCCCTCAGGTGGCTTCAATGTGCCCTGGACTCCAGTGGTGCTGTGGTCGCTGGCTGCCACTCAGTTCTTCCACGCCACGGGTCACCTCCCCACCTTCCCCTCCATCCAGTGGGGCGCCGCCTTCGTGGGATTCCCCGACGGACACACAGGCACCGTACTGCCCGCCTCCCTGGTCACCCTCAACACCTTTGCCTCACACATCTTGTTCTCAGGTAGATATAAAAAGAGAAGCAGCAACACATGTGTGAGTTTATTCTGATTTACAAAAATAAATCAACTGTTGCATCTGCAAAAGTAATAGGACTGAGCTGGACAAAAGGCTAGCTACATTATAAACAAAGAATAAACAATAAGATTAAAGAATATTTTAAATGCATATGAATATGATTCAAAATGCATACAATACAGTGTTCTAAAAGCATGTTGTATACAGTTCAAAAACACAATTTTCACTGTGAATTCAAGAAGTGCAGGGCAGGACATGAAACTGAATGTGCGCCCCGCTGATTCCCATTTGTGTCCACGTCTCGCTGCCGTCAGCGGGTTGCCCGTTGCTGCTGTTCTGGCCCCTGGTGTGTGAGGTGCGTGGGAGCAGGGCAGGAAGAGCCTGCGGTGAGGAGGGCGAGGACGCCGCGATGGAGATGCGGCTCAGAGAAAACCCCCAGCAGTTCAGCTCGGCCCTCCTGCAGCTGTCCACGCGCTACCTCTTTATTCTCGGAGCACAGGTACGCCTCTCCTCCGCTCAGCCGGACCCGTTCCATTCCGTGTCCTAATCACATCGCGAGAGTCATTGTTTCCCGCATCTCTTCTCAGGTCTTTGCGTCAGTCTGTGCCGCTGCTATCCTCAGGAGACACCTAATGGTGTGGAAGGTTTTCGCGCCCAAGTAAGTGCCCCAATGGACTTTACCGCTCACACAGGCTCACTAACAGGAAAGGCTTTTTCAGGATGTGGACACGGTGCAACCACTAACACAGGAAATGCACATTAACGAGGGTCTACTTTACCGGAGACGACCACTGTAAGATATCCGTATTTACACCTGCTTATCTTAAAAGCCGGAATTCCTAGCTTTTTATTTATTTATTTGTAATCATGGTATTTTGCTTGTAGAAACATTGAGAAATATACGAAACAAAACAAATACAGATTCCTTCAATATTTTTCAATAAGCATGTTAATATATAGAACTTGAGAAATAGATGTTTGGAGTTGGAACTACTTGTTAAATTGTTATAGCGGTGTACTGCACAGCCCGTTGGGAGATGATTACAGAACATTAAGGTTTGAAAACAGGCAGAGTTGGACTGTTAAGTTGAAGTTTGGTGCTACAGAGCCGTGTGTTTTCTCCTTCCAGGTTGATGTTTGAGGCCTCGGGGTTCCTGGTGAGCAGCGCGTCTCTGTTGATCGGGGTCACACTAGTGCTGCGAGTGGACGTGGCCGTGAGCCGCTGGTTTAAGAGACTTATCCCCGACGCCTCCAGGTAGCGACGGCACCACGGACCCCCACCAGAGCTCACTGTGCCACAGAGAAAACGGACACGGCGGTGTCACTGGAACCTGTTTTTTTTTTTTTTTTTTTTTTTTTTTTTTTTTTAAAACTTGGATCCTTCACAATAAGACAACATTGCCATCTGTGTCTAGGATCCCCACAAACATGTCACGGGAGGTTGCCACTTATTGTAGCTCCGTTGAGGGTTACGTCGTGCATTACTGACCACGCCTCCTCTTCAGCCAGAGGAACATCAAATCTCAGACTGACTGCATCCTGAGTCACATTGAAGATGTTTTTTTACAAATATAAGACGATAAGCTTGTAGACCGCCTCAATCGGCTCATGAGGTTGAAGGCTTTCATGTAACGCGGTCGGAGAAGGAACAGCAGTTTCTGAATGTCTCTCCTAAACTCCTGTTTTCTTAACTTGGAGGAAACCTTTCGAGGCCAGACAGACGGTGCAGCAGCCAAAAGAGCTTCACTAGATCCATACAGGAAGCAGTGTACACTAGTTGCATAGCGGTCACAGCTGGATAGCAACAGCCTTTAAACAAAGATTGGCCTGTTGCAAGTTGAATATAAAGAGAATAAATAAATAAAATGAGCACCCGATGTCTGGAGCTGCTTCATGATCTACTTGTAAGCAGATCGGCTCCATTTGGTGAAATGGATCCCAAGTGCTGGAGAAACATTTCCATTCTTTTTGTTTTGTACTTTTTGTATTTTCAAGATGTTGAGATAACATCTGGTTACTGCCAATTCACATAGTATTGCTGTGAACTTTTTTTATTTTATTTTATTTTTATTACACAGTTTTGGGTTCTTAATTTCTTCTGATTCCTTTTTATAATTCAGATTCTTTTTATCACTAATGATACGTTTAAAAAATAACTAAATCTCAAATTAAAGTTTCATCTCAACTAGGCCTCGTACAGCTTTTGTCTGGAAAAGGTGCCTAGCTTTGACCAATGCCCCTCCCTCCCCTCTCCCTATGATGTCATTACGTTGACATCATTAAATCCCAGAAACGCCGGCAGTTGATTTATTTGTGCAGCAGGTCTGAGTCCGTGTCCGCCGTGCAGCAGCTGCAGCTCGTTAGCTAATGCATGATGTTGAATTGGCTCCAAAGCAATCGTACTGATGGTTGTACGGGAGCGACTGGTCCTCTAGAATGCTGTAGTGATGACGGGGCACTTTTTCCTGTTTTAAAATGTTTAATATATTAATATCTGATTTTTAAGTTTTTCATTCTGTAAAATGTAATAAAACTTTTTTACGTGACGTCTTGGCCTCACCCACCATGATTTCGATGCATCTCCAGATCCCCCCTCCCCCGTTGTTCCCGTGGTGCATTCCCCGTTTCAACTTTATTTATTGTTGCAGCACGAACTCTTTTATACAGTGCTCAAAAGTGGTATTTAATGTTTATTTTATTGATCCGAGGACTTGATGGAGGAGACGGTGCTGCCATAATGTTTTACTGCCCATCAGTCACGGCGCTTCATTCATTATTCACCGGAGCTCTTCCACATTTCCGCTTCCCATAAGTCTGGAAGTCGTCAAACATTTCTCACTTCTGCGAACGGGCAAAGGTCAAAGGTCAAAGGTCATATTCAAGACCTCTTCTGTTGCCTCAGCCTGCCCGTAACCTGCTTTTAAACTCGTAATAACAATGACTGAGGCAAGGAGTTTAGTTCGACATCTGTGTTTTTACACCCTCTGAGGCCCACAGTTGTAATATTGCAGCATCTGTTTGGAACTTAGTGGTACCTATTCCTAACTGAATGTGGACAACCACTACAAATAAGTATTTGACCAGTGGTATGCCCCCCCACACACACACACTTATTCTAAAGGTGTTTAATGATAGAAAACAAGTATAATCCACATGATTTAGAGGGATTTGTTTTTAATGTAGAAAAAACACAAATGTGCATCACTAGTATACACCCAAGAGGCCCCATCACGAGTCAATGAATCTTTTATATGGCAATACAGTGTATTCATACTGTATGTGTATTATGGGTTAACCGTATGTAGTGCTGCAGGAATGAGTCCTAAAAATCTGAAATGAGTCAGCGCTTCAGGTTGACCTCCACGAGAAGTTTAATGGGTTTTTGGTGCAATGCCTGAAATAAGTTCTGTGCTTCTGAGTTTAAGAGATTTAACAGTTTTGTTGTATTAAAATGAATTTTTAAGATATGAGTATTCTGATATTATTGACTCTCAATACATGGACTTTGTTCAAGTGAAAGCGGTGATATTTGGAGGAGTTGCAGTTTTGCTGATCAGAGGTTTGCTGAAGACGGCGTAAACGGGAGGGAAATAATCCACATCCATAAAAATCAATGCTCTGCTTTCAGATTGATAAATGCAAATGACAGAATACCATTCGACCCTCTCCGCTGCATGCCAACTGGACAGTTTGGATGTTGACTCAACACCTCAGGAATTTGCAGAGGCCTCAACAGGCCTGTCAAGCCACCAGATATATTACGCGTGATGTGAAAATCTCACTGTTGCTGAAAACCTTTATGTCTCCTCATCTCCTGTTTTTTATCCACCGGAGACAATCTCAATGGGCTCAAGTGTCCAGTTGCCTGTAGAGAATGGGATGGACGGGGTACTGTGTGGGTGGGATGTTTTTTACATGAATTTCATCATTATTCATGATAAAAAAAAAAAGTATGAATTCAATAAATCAATATTCAAACAAGTGTATTTTTACGTGTTGTAGTTATCATTTGCGCTAGAAGAGGGTGCCAGAGCATCAACAGGATGACTGAACCTTTTGAAGGAAACCACTCCCCTTTTACAGTAAATGACTGTTTTGTTATTCAGCCATTTGAAAAGTGTGATCTGAACAACCTTTTTCATAACTGAGGAGAAAATCGTATTGTTCTTTTGCTGGAGGATATTCCTTAGAAAACTAAATCTTTACAGTGATGCACATAACCAGTTCTCAATTAGTCACATGTCCACAGAGAGAAGGAAAATAACTCTGGCGGTAGCAGGTAAGGGCAACAGGGCTCACACCTGAATTCAATCTCTTTATAGATGCTCTAATCAGGCCAGGCCCCTCCCACTTCCTGCCCTTCCTCCCACAGCTCTGCCACCCGACCTGCTCTTCACAGCAATGCATTTAACAAGTGGACACTTGCACTCCGACTCCGACATGTCCGAAACTCACCATAAACAAGTGCGTATTGCGTCATAGTTCAAAGCTTAGGTCCGCCAATCAAGCGTAGCTTTTTGACAAGTCGGAAGTGAGAATGCTCGGATGGATTCCACCAGAAAAAGCTCTCTGTGAGAATGGTTCCAATCGTCGCGAAACGGGAAAACTGAACTATCTACTGTAACCATTCACAAGGCTGAAGCTGAAAAACCAAGACATGTTGGAAGGAACCACTTCAGCCATTAACACTTGGGTCAGAGGTTCATTAGAAATGCTGCGTTTGTGTTGTTATGTTGTATCGAGTACAAAAAAAGTTTCTCTTCACACCAGTTTGGTGTGTTTTAGCAATAATTGGTTCAAGCCAAACAAATCAACTAGAAAAAAAAACATCACGGCGCTCTTTGAAGCTTTGGATGTCTTATTATTTGGGATGTGGAACACCATTACGACCCGCGAAGCCGTGGAACAGCTTTCATTCGAAGCATCAGCGCTCCTCTAATTGCTCATCATTATCAGATGAACATGCCCTTTGGACAACAACCCCGGCATTTCTGCTTGCATCGACTATTAAAGTCAGACCAATTTTTGTTTATGGGGATGGAAAACAAAAATCATCCGGCTGCCCTCTGATGTTTTGCACTCTCGAGAACGGCTTCATCTTTCCACAGGGGGGGACCGGACGTAAAAAACTGTTTTGATGATATCAACCATCGCTTTGTGGAGCTCCTCCGACGAGAGAGAATTTGATGCGTAGTGTGCGGATTCAGCCATCACGCCACTTAACTGAGGCTCAGATACAGGACCTGTAAAAAAGGCAAAAACTTTGAGTCCAGAAACTTGGTGTTGCAAAAGTTAGTTGTTGTAGATAGGAAGCGAGTTGTTTACTTGTGTAGAGGCGATACCAAGAGGGAAGTACAACATTCAAAATGTTACTTCATGAAAAATAAATCATTTTTTTCATCAGATTGCAGCGCATGCATTGTTTCCGTTGAATCCCTTTTGCGCGCGAAATCCAGGGCGTGAATGGCGGACTCCGCCACCAGCAAAGAAAACTACCACTTAGAGAGGTAATTACAGAATGTAGATACATTGAATTGCCATTGCTGAAAAATACAGGCCATAGATTGCATAAAAACAAGGTTTGAATTCAGGAAAATCTTAAAGATTATGACTTAAAAAAAAAGAGTCTGTCGGCTAATGGTGGCTGATGTCTTCTTTGAATTGGTGTTAATGAGAGAGAAGAAATGCTGTACAATCACATGATGTGTATCTGAAAATAAATGACTGGGTTATTAATAAACATGCTTGAAGTCAGCAGGCCGTTTGAATTGTGATTAAAGACAACTGTTTGACCTATTTTAACATGAATAGATGTGTGATGACAACCCAATAATGTCACATTGCACACATTTCCAGATGATCACACAGAGTAATCAAACAAAATATGAATAAAAATAATATATGTATATATACTAAAGACACTGTATAAAATCAAAAGTTGTGCGGTGAGGAGTGTTCTTCAGTGGCGGCAGTTATTTCAGCTTTGTCGGGTCATTTTAACATCATTCTGTATTCTGCCTCAATAACAATGCGATGCACTCTGCTCTGGTAAAAAGAAAAACAACCTTTGAAGAGACATTTTACTCAGCAATGTCTTTTTTTAAATACGGAAATAGTATGTTTCTAGCTGGAGCTTCCAGTGATAAGAAGACAATTAATACGTATTTCTACATTTACCAGATAAGCTGTGAGTTCACAGGGGTGTTTGTTGAATTCAATTTCACGCACTTTAATTGGATTTGCTCTCAGAAATGATATCGTACCTTGTGACGATACATGGGCCGCTTTCAAAATTCTTACCTTATTAACCTTTCCCTGAACTGTTACAGGCCTAACCCCCAGCCCTCAACTGAAACTCTCTCACTCTCTCACTCTCACTCACACTCTCTCACACTAAACCTTGTACCTCTGTACTTGTGAGGACCCTCACCCACAGAGTTGCCTAACCATAATCTTAATTTAAATCTAATTCTAAACTTAACCTAAAACCGAGTCTTTGTCCTCAAACTGTCCTTTGAAGAAGAAGTGGAGAAGAGCCAAAATGTCTTTTCAAGGTCGAAAAATAAAAATGATGCTGGCAGAAACTCTGAAGGACACAGATTCATCATGCTTTCATAAGATTTTATTTGTTTTTTGACGCAACAGCTGGGGCCGAAGACGCCACGATTACACTCCGTCGTCACCATTCTACAGAAGCACAATATCTGTCAACATATGTTAAATCAAATCTCACATTTGGGCAAAAATGTCCACCTGGACGCAAGGACTGCTAATTACTTCACACATGAGAAGATGGTGATATGTATTCTACCTTTTAATTATAGCGTTTTCAAACAACTCCGGCGACTACTTATTCCATATAAAAATAAAATCATAGCAGAAAAGGCATTTTTAAAATATTCATAATAGCTGTAACTGTCATAATAAATAAATGATAAATGGAAACAAACATGTACATACTGTGGAACCAATGTTAAATTATGATAAAAAGTTGCAATGATGGAAATATAATCCACAACCTCGGATAAGAGGAAATACTTCTTTATGCACGAGGGCCCCAATTACTAATCTACGGATATGATCTTCTACACTGTAAATACACACACGCACACACACACTGTGTGTGTCATACTGTACTGAATCAAACTGGACATATTCCAGTTGAGGGTTCTTGGTCTGGTTTTACATACAATTGGTAGAAAAAGTGAGTTTTATGCTTGAAGGGATTTTCAGCTGGCTCACAGCAACACCTGAAAGACACACCCACACACACACACACACACACACACACACACACACACACACACAGGAGCTACAGCAGAACCTACCATGTGTTCGCACACGACTGCACTGCTGTTAGCTTCGGCCCCCGTCTCTGTGCTGTAGGTGAGCTCTGCCTCAGTGACGTGCACAGCCAAGGGGAGATATTCATTTTCTAACTGACATGTGTGTATCCACGCTGGGAGACAATTTGTTGCTTGAACGCTCCGAGTTGTCTTTTTTTCGGAGACAGGTAATGGCACGCTGTAAAAAA